CCTGGCATCTGTTTGCGAAAGTACTGCAATAACAGCCATCTCTGCCATGAATGTTTAGTCCTCATCCTTCTCTTGAAGATGGTCACTGCCTGCTAATCCTTCACACACATGTTCTGGAGGGGCAGAGCCCAAAGGGGGATAAAAAAGCTAAGGATTAGTCTATTGCCTTTGTGGAGAGAGAAAGAATGAGTGATCATAGTCCTAACCAAGGGCATGAGGTATAGGTTTAATCTGATATTCTGCCAAAGATTTTTGGGTGGTTTTCAGCAAATACTCTCTGACTTTGGTGGGAGGCATACAAGTGCAAGACAGCAAAAATGTCAGGTGCCAGGGCTTGGAGGAACCACTAGCAGCTGCAGGTAGCTGGGTACCCACCAAAACCAGAGGAGCTGTGGGGCAGGAGGGGAGCTGGGTGTCTTCATTCACTACGCAGCATCGGGGCCATCCTCATGCAGACCTGCAGTGCCAAGGGCTGATCCTCTCATCCGTACTGAAGGCTCCCAACAGAGGAGAGACCCTTTTGCCGGGTGGAAGGTGCCTATGTGAAGTGTCACATCTCTGCACAGAGCCTCAGCTCGCCGCTGGTTTGCTACTCTCAGGAGGTTTGATCATTTTCCTGACAGCCCCTGCTGCGACCTCACTCTGAGTGGTTTCCATTGAGTAATATTTTTGTCTGGAGGTTGAGTTCTGCCCTCAGTGGTATGTGTACGCCTTTGGAGCCTGCAGGCACTGCCCCATGCTACCCTGCTGTGAAACCTCCTCGTTTTCTGCAGGGTCGTATCTCTGCAGAAGATGAATCATCTTTTTTTGTGGATAGTTTGCGTGATGATACGTGTGGCAGAGTACAATCTTTGTTTTCCACCCTTTGCCCAGCCAGTGTGAGCATGCAGATTTAACTGGATTAAAACAATAAAAAGGATTAAAAACTTATGCTTGTGTCTGAACAGTTCACAAGCTGCAGCTCCTCCATGTGAGAAGGTGTTTCTGATGCAGCTGAGCAGAAGAGCATCTCTCTGTCTGTTCTGATGAACCCTTCTCTGATCAAGGTGATTTTCAGGTGTGTTATGAGCAGAAAAGCAGGCCCATCACCTATACGACAGTACTGTCAATCAGGCTTCATTCCTCTGGTGCCCAAAAGAGAGAACCATGCAGCAGTACCCCGCAATTTACTGTAAACCATTCATTTTGTTATAACCCTTTCATTGTCCAGAATTTACCATCTCTCCTTTCTTCAGCAGCTTACTGGCCAGTATTCACAAAGGGTGGTATGAAATGTAGGATGTGATATCCAAGTCCAGTGGGAAGAGAACTACTGCCCTACTTCTCAGCCAGCCCTCCGGCTGGCACTGGCACAGCAAGATCCTTTGTCATCTTCAAGATGATGAGACTCAGGATGCTTCAGCTGATTTATAAGGAGCCATGGATATATGATGTGAGCTTAATTCATAATGGGATTGAGCTGAAAGCACTAATGCTGTTTTACTGCAGATCTGACATTAGCATTCACACCGTGCCTGATGGATAGTGCAGAAGAACCAAAGTAGGTTTTCTAGTGGGTCTGGTAGCTATCCATCTGGCTCAGCCTGATGAAATTATTGCTGCAATTTACTAATCTAGGCACAAGAAAATCCATCCATGAACACAGATATGTAAAAACTCTAAGAAGAAAAGAATTCTATTTTGTCTATGTAAAAAAAAACAACAAACCAACCAAAACAAAGAGGGAACACTGCTCTCAGGTAGGTAGGGAAACAGAATTTTGCAACACCTGTATAGCGATTTTACAAGACCTCATTTTCTCCTGCACCAAAATAAGGGTACTTCCTTACTTCACCAAGTTCTTCACATTTTTTGAAGGAGTTTGGAGTGACTGGGTATAATACATTATAAAGATGCAAAATATTAGAGCACAAAATGAATTCTAGAAGCCCCAAATTCAGCCCAAATCTGTTAAGCCAAGCTACAACTGCCTTTCAGCCATGAGTAGAGAGCTGTAAAAAGCACTATGTTGTGGGCACTGAAAAAGTGCATGTAAACTGAATTTCATTGTTGATCCAACTTGCCAGCATTTTAGGATTTATGTCTCATCATGCAGAATATTCGCTTCACCTCTGCTTTATGGCAGTGAAGAGCTGCTCATAGGCTTTGAATTATGATGGCATTAGAATATCTTCCATGGCAGAAAGTCCTTAAATATACCCTTAAACATTTCAGTTTTATGTTGAGATGCTTATGAAGGCTGGATTTAGGTACCCGTATCTCCTTTCTCCCCAAAATGTGTCCTCCTTTTCTGTACTGGGAGTCTTACTGGGCAGATTTTCATCAGTACTCCAATGTATCCGGATTCCTGAAATCCTTGTTGGATCTGGGGCTTTGCAGGTGTGCAGAAATCCAAGTGAGGAGGTTTCCTGGTTGGCTGCAAAGAGCAGTGAGAAAGATTTGAGCAATGGCACCCAAGAGGCAGAGCGAGAGGAGGCAAGCTGCCCCATGGGCTCTGCAAGCCGGAGGGGGAAGCCCGGGTTGAGAGCTTGGGAGCGGGCTGAGAAGGGTGGCCACCAGATGAGGACTGGGAAGGCAATAGAAAGGCTGAACTTTTCATGTGGTCATGAGAAAACTGTGGGAGAAGGACATGTGGGATGTGAGGAGGTCCATGTGGGGGAGGTCAGATTTCTGTTGTGCCTCCTGCCCCATCAAAACCAGCAAATAAGGAGGCTGGCAAGGGATGGAAATGACCATCCTGGAGCAGTACTGCTGTCACACTCATCCTGCCAGAAATACACTGGTCTTCTGGCAAGGGGTATGCCCAAAATACCAACCGTGCATTCTTCATTTCAGTAGATATTTCATGGACAAAAGGTGCCAACTAGCAAGAAGTAAATAGTCTGAAACAAGTGAATACCCAAGGAACATCCCTTCCCCGAGAACTGGTTGTGATCAGACAGCAAAAGCGGCATTACATTAGGTCTCCACCACAGTGTACAAAGAGCTTAGTAAGCTTAAGCTAGAGGAACTGTTTATATTGGGGTTTTATTGCTTTTGCTTTGTTTTAATTCAGCAGCAGAATATTTGCCGGAGGAGCTGGAGAAGCCAGTTAGAGTCCACAAAAATGCCAATGATTTATTTATTGCCATCATTTAGGGAAAGGGCAGCAGTTGCTGGTTCTGAATATTTAACATCACAGGAAAAAAGCAAGTGGCTCTGAAGCCTGCGTGATCCAGTGAAGCGCTGCAAACCAACATGCCCCTCTGGCCCCTGAAATTTGGAGGTGGGAGAGCCATAAAGGTGTGCCCCAGCACATAACCTTACGGGGACTGAGACTTCTTCAGACCTCAGCTTGCATGGCCTGTTGAAGAGATCCTGGCTCCTCTATGAAAGCCCAGGTAAGGAGGCGAGGTGCATCTGCAACTCAGAAGACATTTCCTGCGTAGCATTCATCTCAGGAAAATTGTGATTCGTTTTACTTCACACATTGTTTATAATAATTCCCAGGAGAGCAGCAGGTGGGAGAGATTAGAATCAGAGCTTTTCTCTACCCAAAGCTGGCTACAGCGAGATGCTTTTTGAAACACTGAAGAACTATTCTTAGCTTGCTTCCCCCCTTCCTAGGTTTTCCAAGGGACTCAAGCAAACATCCTCAATCTCTCCAGCTACTAACTGACATGACCTACCAGATGTTTCTCAAAAAAACATTTAGGAGCATCCAGGCCACAGCCACACATGGGCAGAAGGGAAACAGGAAAAGACAATTTCCCAAGTTTCTCGTCCATCACACTCACTGCAGAGTCCCCTCCTTCAACGCGTCGCCTGCCGCCGTGGGATTTCACTGCTGTTGGTCGCTATGGAGGAAACGTGCATGACTGCAAGATGGGACTGAGCATTGGGAGATGGCCAGCACCTGCCTCTGACTCTCCCCGAGGAGCCATCCAAGGGAGAAGTTCTTAGAGAAACCCCTTTCTTCTTGTCACCATCACCACCTGCAAAACACCCTCAGCTGAATGAAAGGGACCATATTCACCCCCCAAGTGTATGGGGAAAAAAAAAAAAAAAAAAGGTTATTTTTAAAGGAAAGCATTTCATATCTCCTAGCCAATTTGCAAAGAGATATTCCAGATGCATTGTTTTAAATCGATATTTAGCAGTACACGGTGTGGGTTGAAGTGGCACAGAATTCAATACCAAGATCAGTGCACAACTTAGGACCTTCCTGATACTTTATTTTCTGAAAATCTTTTTTTGAATGCTTAAGGAAATAGCAGCTAAAAAAGGTGAATGTCCCGATGACTGGCTATGGTTATATCCATCCTGGAGCCAGACCATCTAGCAAGCCTCTCACTGCCCATCATGATATGAGAGTGAGATTTAACCATGCTCACAGTGACCACCCACTAGCTGTCATCCCCAATTTAAGGCAGGGTGAGGCTTCCCAGGCCCAGGCTCAGCGGAGGTCATGAATTTTTATTCTGAATCTTTCATTGTCTGGATGGTGAAGGTTGCTGCCTCAGAAGCCGAAGGGAGATCTGAAACTGCAAGCTACCTGGGGCTTGGTTGTGACCACAGTGTAAGAGTCAAATCACTATTGCTAGTATGGAAACCTGGGTGCTCTTGTCCCCTAGTGGAATACTTTACCTTTTACCATGCACAGGGGCCTCCTTAATACCAGGCAGTTAGGCAGACAATGAAGGAAACACATTTGCTCATAGCATGCTCATACCACACATTTCTATGAGCTATCCTGGGCACACTTTCCAGGAGAAACTGTTGTTTCCAGTGTTGCTGGAGGGCGACAATAAATTGATTAGCCTCTTTAAAATTTCTCATAAAATTGTATTAACAAAACAGTAAATACGTTACACAGAGACCGTAACCACAGGATGTTTACATAATGCCCACTGTGGACCAGTACTAAATACCATAAAAGACCTGAGACCCCCCCGAAAAGTCCGCAAGTTCTGGCTCTCACAAGGCAGCTAGAGCACCATAGTTTCTCCTCCTGCTCTTCCTCACATTTCAGCTTCGGTGTTGTGAACTTTGCTGGTGGTTATTGCAATTCCTATCGCTAGGCTTCCGTTGTCGGAAAAAAGCTGAGCCAGGGAAGTGTTCAGCACAAGGCAATCCCCGTCAGAAATGACAGAGTCAACACACTCCAGTACCGACCTGGGGGTCGCCTCCCACTTAAGGCGCCTCTGGTTCCTGTTGAGCTCGAGCCGGTAGGTGAAGTTGTCGGCTTGGGTCGGTGTGCCGATCAGCATCATTGTAGCGAAGAACTGGGGGTGGCCTTCATACTTCTCCTGCTTCCTGAGGACCAGCAAAAACTGGTGGCCAAGGCAAGAGTGCATGATGATCCAGTCTGTGGGTGCGGGCAGGTGCATGTCCGTGGCCAGGAAGACAATCTCTGCCCCCTGAAGGATGTTGATGCGGTGGGTCTGCCTCAGGTGGGACACCACCACCTCCAGGTGCCCTTCCCATGGGCAGGAGAAGAGCGGACACGTGCAGGGAACCAGCTGGGGGTCATGGACTGCTTCGTGGTGATGGCAGGGAGGAAGGACACCTTGCTCCACGGACGTCTGTGCAGCTGCACAGCGGGTCGGTGCATACTACAAGAAGAGAAAGATTACACGTGGTAGCAGGTGGACCAGGAACCGGTGCAGATACGCAAGGTATAGACCCTGCAGGCACCAGCCACCTAATACTCCACCTAAAACAGCACCGGTGGGAACCCCAGGAGCTCAGTGCTGCTCAAATCAGGCTGAGATCAGGGGCAATCCAGGCCTGGATCTGCACAGCAAAAGGTGCTGACAGTTGCATTGTTTTCCAAGAGGAGAGAGAAACAATTTGAGCCGTGATAAGTCACTTCAAATGAAAGTGATGTATGTGTTTAAAGAGCAATTTCATTAGTTTGGGGGGAAAAATCTGATTAAAAAAAAAAAAGCCCAACAAAGCAAGGACAGCATGGGGTACTTTATATAGTTAAGGCTCTTGCAGCTCAGAACAAGGAAATGAAATATGTATGGCTTTATTAGTCTTTAATGAAACACACTGACAAATACAGGCGTTTCTCCTGAAACAATATGCTTTATAACACCCATAATTTGTGAAATAAAAGTCAGTTTTTATCGTATATGATGCATTTAGTTTTTTTGGTCAATGTATTTGTGCTTAATTGATGTGCTTACCTTCATAAATCTTAAATGGCTTTCAAAGGTGGATGGATGGCAAATTAAGGACATTTTTATACTAAAGTGAATTTGGATTAAGATAGGGCAGCAAGCTGAAAAGGCAGCAGCTCTTGCAGAATAATTCCATGTGAGGACTAGGAAGCAAACTGTTCTGCCTCTGTCAAGGGGATGTTGTTGAAGAGAAATGAGTAAGTCTTATTCAACCAAAAGTGTATCCACATGTAATGCTATTCAGGAAGAGTAATGGCTCTCCACAATAACTCTGTGGGTAGATAAACCCTAAGGCACAGGCATGCCAGTCATGATTCATCCTACCCAATTTTAAGCATTTACTTCAGCCACCCGAGGTGGAAACCTGATTACCTTGGACTGCCTCTGCAGTCAATAGAGAGAGACAGCTCTTCCCAGTGGTGGATCCAGATCTTAGCTGGAGTAATTCACCGGCTGCCGCCAGAATGACTAAGGCTGAGATTCAATCTGTCTAGCTGTACCTAAATTTTAGATGCTTATACGTGGGAGGACAATGTCTCCCTCTGAACTCCTTTGGAGATGCTTATAAGGAGTAGAAGAATTAAGAGTACATATATACCTACGTACATTTTGTTTTAATGTATGTTTTAGGAAGAGTCACATAATTGCCCAAATACTGCCCCTCATCTGCTCATTTTAACATATGTACCCAAAGTTACAGGAATGACAGTATGGTTCTAAGATCCAACTGTTGTTCTCCTCCATGCCACATCCAGGTCATAGCAGATCTGGGCTTTTTTCAGCTATTTTTCAGCAGAGAACTGTTTTAACCAGGGGCAACCACAGTCCCGTATAATAGGTGCCAGATAGGTTGCAAATACTGCATTGCCTCATCTCTCTACAGATACCATGATGCCTTTCATTACAGCCATGATGTGAGAGTAAGCGTTCTTACCGCGTACAATCTTTCCCCCCAAAACTTGCGCCTAAGCTTTCGAGGATCTTCCAGAAATCAATCTCTTGGGTCAACCGTCCCAGCTCCCAGATGACCGGGGCTTCCTTGCCAACTGGGATGACAAAGTCCTGGATCTTCATTCAGGATTTTTATTTTGTCAGTAGCTGCCAAAGGATGTGATGGGCAGAGCAGGGTTGTGATTGCTGCTGCTGTGTAATGCATGGTTCTTCCTTCCCGAGACACTGGGTGTCAAAGGAAGATGTTTCTTCTTCCTCTGACACTTGATATGAAGAATAATTGAGTATTTAAGCCCTATTATTGAACCCTGCAGCTTTTTCTTGGGAGAATTATTATTTCAATAGTACTGTTCTACTTTTTCCTTCCTCATTTTTTATTTGTTTTGCTGTATAAAATTCAAGAATATAAACTTTCCAACAAGATAATGAATTGAGGTCAGATAAATGACTATCATTGTCTGGGAAATAAAACAGGTCATTATAAACTAATCGAGGTTTGTGGCTTTAGCTGCCTGCTTATCGTGGTGGGATTGCTGGAGAGGACTGGTTCACGCTTAATTCTACATTAATTTTTGCATCTCATTAGGATGAAAGTTATGGTTAATTTAAACTCTTTTGGTGAAGGAGGCTACTGCAATGGCAGATCATAAAAGCCTTTTAAAAAATCCCTGAAATGCTAATTGCCTCATAAAATGAATTCTAATCTCCCAATCTAATACAGTGGGTGTGAGCAATTACTTTCTCTCACCAAACTGTTAATGCAACATTAGTGATTATACTAATTAAAACTAATGAACTCATTCTCACACGCTGATAAAACTCTCAACCACTCGACAAGTTCCAGCCTTCTATCTGTTTTATTTAACTCCTCTTTAGGAAGATGAATCTTAAATTAACCTCTTGAATAACATTCAAAATTGGGTTTTGAAATGTGAAGCTTTATAGACTGTGTATAATTCCTCTCTAAAGATTACCAGAGTCAGAGAAACCATTTCCACTGAGGATGTAATTGAATTTAGAAATGCATTCTCCTAATTTGATAAGCATGGAGAGCAATGGTAGCTCATCCATCTAAGCTGTATCCAAGGTAAGAAAATACAAGTATCTCCAAAAGTCACTTAATGACAAGCACGTTTTCATGGCTCAGAAACTGGAAAAATAAATTACAATGAGCTATTTATTCAATGTATCTTTCTTCTTTCCTTCATTTGTGATTGTGTGTGTGTGTGTGTGTGCGCGCGTTCAAATATTTGAGAATTCCCTTTCACATCCTAAATTTTTGAAACATTCCAGTGAATCACTTCAGCAAAGGATTTCGGGTCTGACTTTGTCCAGTTCAGGTTTATTGAAAATTCTGGAAATCCAGCACAGACTACATGATCTATTTTTATTCTCTGACTAGGGGAGAATCATCTTCAAAAGCTGCTTTCTGAATTACTCAACATTCCTGTTTCTAAATTCTAAATTTTGTAATATTTTGAAAGTAATGTTTAAAAAATCCCTGTCTCTGTGAAAAAAGTCCCACAGAAAAACATTATTTTACTTTTACTTTTGAGGTATGAGTGTAACTGTTGGGGTGCCTGTGCCCTTGTTGGTCTCTCATATGGCTGTGAAAGGAACCTCTAAAATTGAAATGCAAAATGGGCATAAAATGGTCACCTTGAGTGCATTTAAATGCTTGAATAAATATTTATGAACATTTTTTTTCCATGTTTAATCGGCTCCAGTATTTACTTTCCCTCATTTATTGCCCGATTACCTAATAAAATTAGGTTTATTATATTGTTATGTCAGTCCAGTATTACTCTCAATTATCTTTTAGCCTGTTGGCCAATTTCAGTCAAATTTAACTGTGTGATAGAAGTCTCAAAGGCTTTAATTTTCAATTGGTTTTGCAAGAAGGGGCAGCAAGGTAGAGAAGTATGACCCTTTCACGTCTCCAGAGAGGAACAGCTTGCCATGCAGGCAATATTACATTGTCAGATAGGAGAGAACCTAAACAACTGCAGTTTGATCCAAAATGTATTACAGACACCAGAGAACCCACATGAGACAACGTCTTTATGAACAGGAGAAAAGGCTTAGGCAGAGTGCTCCTCATTAGAAGCAAGATAATCCCACCATGAGACACCTAACCGCAGGAAACCAGGCTCTGCTGCTCGCAGAAAAATTTCTTTTTAATGATGCAGCTTATTACAGTGCAATTCTCTTTAAGAACAAGTCATTTGGCAAAGAGCAAATTGTAAATGGTGCTTTTCTTGTGGGGTAAAAAAAAAAAAAAGTTATATTTGAACCTGGAACACAGGGCTTCTGGGTTCTGCCCCAGCCTTTCTACAGAGTTTCTGCTAAAAATGCAGCAAGCCGCTCTAGGTGTGACTCATCTGTTCTGACTTTGATGTCTGAGGAGTAGGTGGCTAACTCTGAAGAACATCAGCTCCTTTTAAAGCCCATGCAGTGCCCCAGAGTGCAATTCACTTTACCCCAAGAGATGCCAAAGGAATCTCTCCCCCCAGACACCGCTCTCTACATGCAGCCAGGACCAAACTCATCCTTGGGGCAGACCCGCAGAGGTTTCTAGACAAGGAGCAGAAGGGTGGCCCTATTTCAGTCAGGAGAGAGTGGTACCACTATGGGCTTCTCCTGCAGCACTGGAGACAATGCAGTCAGTGAAGAGAGGAATGGATGGCTGTTCACACGAGGGTGTAAATCCCTGTCTCCCTACCACCATTACACCCCCAGTGACCAGTGACTTGACAGAAAATCCAGGGGAAGGTCAAAGGGTAGATGCAAGAGGTAGAGATCTCCAAGATGTCCAAGAGGTAGAGAAGACACAAGCATATGTCAGTGTGCTCTGGCAGCCCAGAAGGCCAACCGTACTCTGGGCTGCATCAGGAGAAGCGTGGCCAGCAGGTCAAGGGAGGTGACTCTGCCCCTCTGCTCTGCTCTGGTGAGACCTCACCTGGAGTACTGCGTCCAGCTCTGGAGCCCTCAGCACAAGAAGGACATGGACCTGTTGGAGAGGGTCCAGAGAAGGCCTACAAAAATGATCCAAGGGCTGGAGCACCTCTCCTATGAGGACAGGCTGAGAGAGCTGGGGTTGTTCAGCCTGGAGAAGAGAAGGCTGCGGGGAGACCTGATTGCAGCCTTTCAGTACTTAAAGGGAGCCTATAGGAAAGATGGGGAAAATATTTTTAGCAGGGACAGCTACACCACCATCCCTCAAGCCCTGCTTCTCTGCTGCACATTGGCACAGCTTCAAACAGGAGAGCAAAGGTGGCTGCTGTCCTGAGTGGCCAAATGCCTTGCAATTAAAGTCCTGACTTGCAAAAGGAGAATTTGCTCGCTGCAAACCCCTCAGGGTGAGGGAGGGTTGAATCTAGTCCTCCCACCCCATGGGAGAGGACCCAGACCCTGATGACCTGAAGCAAAAGTGGGGTGAGTAGCACCGCCACGTTGTAGAAGAATAAAAGCTGCTC